AACAATTAGCGAGGCAATGGCGAGGGGGGTCGGAGTTGGGGGTCGCCAGCTCTCTACTCAGCGGCAGGTAGAGCTAGGGGTTCAGGGAGGAGGGAGGCTGGGGGGTGTCCCGCGCGGGGAAGAGTTTGTTCATCCTCACGGCACAAATCACGGGGGAGGAGGGGGGTCGGCACATCATCATCATCATCATCATCATCATCAACAACAACAACAGCAACATCATCAACAACAACATCATCTACATCAGGATCCCGGTGACAGAAGGGGAGGGGGTGGGGGATCAAGACGGCCTCTCGTCAAACGAAAACTGAGCGGGGAGAAGGAGGAGGAGAATCCCCACAGCAGTGATGTTTCCTCCTCTCCCTCCACACTCCTCCCAACTGTTGCTGATGGCCAAAACTGTTCCGCTTGGCTTCCTCCCTCCTCCTCCTCCTCACTCTCCTCCCCTGCCCTCCCCTCCCCCGCCGTCCCTCCTTCCCTCCCCTCCGCCATCCCCCCTCCTCTCCCCGCGCGGCGCACGAGAAAGTTTTCATTAGCGCCGGAGTTGTCGCCGCCAACAGCCCAGCACGGCACAGCGCCCCGCCAAGGCCACCCGGACACCGCGGGAGAGCGACGCGCACCCGTCACATCGGAGCCACAACCGTCACACCAACGACACACGCACGTCACACACAGCTCCACCAGCTCCTCGCCATCACGCGCTCGGTGGAGTAACAACAACAACAACGTCAACAACAACAACGTCAACAACAACAGTAACAACCACAACAACAAAGACGACAATACTCAGGAGAGTAGTGACCTTTCAACCCAGCGCGTCTCGGTGAAGGACGCTGTGTCGTTTTGGAGTAATCAAAATCCACGCAGCGCGGAGAAATTATCGTTTGTTGATGTGTTGCGGAGTTCTCGTTCGGATTCGGCGGCGGGGGTGAGATCGACAGGTGATCAACAAAGTGGTGGTGAAGCTTGCCCTAGTGCCAGAAGGGCTGTGTTCAAACGCGAAGGTGACGCGGTGCGCTTATTTCTGGTGGAGGAGGAAGAATCTGTTGTTAGTGTTAGCGAGAGTTGTGAGGCGCGAACCTCGGATTATAACACACGATCCCCTGTGAATTCTAACACTTCTTTCTCGGATTTTTCGCGTGGTGGGATTTCGACAAGCCGAGAAGGTCAGTGGAGACCAGCTGCAGGTAACTTAACATCATCTTCCTCATCGTCATTGGGGTCAACTGGGGTGAAATCACAGAACAAATCTGGTGGGAAAGGGAGTAACACCAGCAAATCTCGTAAATTTCCAAAACTTTTGGGGGGTAAAAAACCTCAGGGGAAAGAGGCAAAAAGTCCTGAATTAGGCAGAAAGTCTATCGGAGGTGTAAAAAGTCCCGAGTTGGGCCGAAAGCCCATCAACCGTTGGGACAGAATCCACGTCCCTCTAGGCCGCTCAGAGACGGTGCTGCCACCACCGGAGGCGCAAACAGCCGTTCCATGTTTGTCCGCGAGTGTGTTGTCTGACTTGTCTGACACTCTCACGTCTGCTCCTAGCCCAGGCGACCCACGGCTGGCCCCGGACGTGACTCGTGTCCCCCAGGACGGTGAAGGGCTCGAGGCGAGCGCGAGGGTTAATGGGTCGGTCAACAAACCTGACTCCAGACCCGCTATCAAGGGGATCTTAGTGTACCGAGGCCCACACACGCACACACACGGTGCTCCGGCACGCCACGGACACAAGGTCAACTCGGTGCAGTTCCTCGACGATACCGTTCTTCCGGACAGCGCAACTACCCCCGTGACGTCATCATCCGCGCCGTGGTCCGGGGTGGATGAGCAGTTTTCTGGTCCTGATGTGAAGCGAGAGGTCATTGACCGGAGGAAGTATTTTATCGATCCCAGTGAGGCCAAGAGAAGTGGCCATTTCCTCAACCGCTCACACGACGGCGTGTTACACACTAACAACACACTAGGCACCTCACTCGACGGTGTGCTACACACTAATCATAACAACACACTAGTCGTCTCTCCCAACACTCGTGTCACCCCCGACACTGAATCACAATTGTCGAGGGTCAATCCATCACACGCAAGGTTCGATTACCCAGACGGGAGGGTTAATCCATCACACAGTAGGTTCGATCGGTCAGACGGGAGGGTTAATCAATCCCAACTCCCCGTCCAGTCATCCATCACAGAGGGCTTCAGTCAGTCAGCGCGTGTGTCCCCGCCCCCACTCTCCCCTCCCCTCGCCCCTCTCCCCTCTGCACACCTCGCGTCCCCCACCTCATCAGCTGATGCCCGTGGGCAGTTTGAGCCACACGACAACATTGGACGTAGTACGTGGGCGGACAGACAGGCGAAATACAACGGACAACCTCACGACAACTTCAGTGATCTAACAACTGATCTTAACCAGTTGACAGAAAGTCGAGTCAGTAGTGCGGGGCTTCGACCTTCGTTTGAGCAGACGTTACAATCTAACGGTCCATCAGGGCCTCACAGTGACTCCTCTGCCGGGCGCGATACTTCTGTTGTCAGACCTGGGAGGGCTAGTGACTATTTGGGAGAGCTAGAAAATATCTCCTCTGACTTAAGCATCTCTGCAACTTCCGGTGTACAATCCTGGCGTGGACAGACAAAGTCAGATGTGCCACACTGGCAGTCTGACGGCGATCTCACGGGGGACGAGACTTTAGACTATAGACACCACGTCCGCGAACAGTGCCAGAAAACTCTCGTGTGGAACTCTCTCCCGGTGACCAGTGATGTAAGTCAGGCATGGCTCTCACTCCGTCAAGATAACGGGACGACAGACGTGCACACACTTGACCTAGATCCGTCTTCACGCGTGCAGCACAGCTCTGGGGAAAACCGCCAGCCGCCGAGAGCGGGAGACAGACCCGGGAAAATCACACCCCGGCAGAAATTTGAGATCCTGCACAACCGAGGGCCTGCTCGAGTGACGGGCAATTTACGAGCGTCACAGGAGGGAACGACACACAGGCCGACACACGAGGATACACACGAGGAGACTGAGCCGGCGTGTCACAGGACGAGTGCAGAAATACAACACACTTCGCACCACGGACTCCCCTCAGAAACACAACACACCTCTCAGCACTTGCTCCCCTCAGTAGCCAGACTCAGTGCTGCACACCCTGGGTCGTGCCCCGCCCACAAAGAAAGCCCCCGCGCCAAGTTTGAGCGAGACCGGGCTGCCCGCACTCACGGAAAGTCGTCCACGAGTACCGCCCCCGCAGACGGCTCTCAGCTCTCACCGGGCGGGGAGACAGACACAGGTCTGAGCGGCGGGAGGAACTTCGGCGCGGAGATATCCGGGGAGGAAGACAGTCGGACTTCCTCTTTAACTCGCTCCCAAAAGGTCAAAGATTCTCCATCATCCCATCCCAACCCGACCTGTGTCCAACTGACCTCACAACAACATGTCCCGGAAGTGCCCCCTCGCGCATGCGCAGGGGCGCGTGTGTCCAGCCTTCCCGGTGTGGTCCGGGGGTCAGAGGTGAAGAAGATGTCGCCGGACTCTGTCTCCAGCAGCGGATACGAGAGTGAGCAAAACTCGTGCGTACTACATCCCTCCTCAGGTCACGTGAGCAGCGCGCTGACCTCTGACCTCGGCACGTCCACCGTGCAGCAGCTCAGACTTCGCTTCGGTCACTCGGACAAAGGTCAAGGTCAGAACAAACTGAACAACTCCCGGCGAGGCGAGGTCGGGAATACCTCTGTCCTGTGTGGGATCTCCCGCGTCGATCAGACAAGCCTGTCCGGTCACAGTTCTACACCACAAAGAGACCTCAACACACGCAACTGTTCCCTGGAGCGGCAGACAACAGTTGTGACGTCACACTCCAGCACTCGTCGGCACTCGGCCGGTGACGTCATTGATGACGTAGATCACGTGAGCAGCGACGTCAACAACAACATCCGGTCTGGGAAGGCTGAGAGAAGGGGGAGACAACTCTCTACCCAGCAGCCTCCCGCCGTGAGGAACAACGGTCAACACACACAGGGACTGGTCCAGAAACTGACCAATCAGCAGGTGAGAGAGAACTGGACAGTCCAGGGTCACAGCCCAGAACTGACCACTGCCTGGTCTTGGGATCAACAAAACAATTCTTCTCTGTCTCCGAGACAGGGGTCAGGCTACAGCAACAACTTCAGCAGCAGCAACGATAACAACAACATCAACAACAACAACAACAACAACATCAACAACAACAGCAACAACCACAAAAACAGTAGCAGGAAAGGTGAGCGCTCTAGAAGTGGTTCAGCTCACAACAGCTTAGACCGCGCACAGTCGGTCAAGTGGTCGCTGGCGCAGCTCAGTGGTCTGGAGAAACATCTGAGCGTGAGTCGAGTCAACTATAGCCCGGAGGAGGAGGAGAGAGAAGTGAGAGACAAGAGAGACGTGAGAGAAGTAAGAGAGCGGAAAGAGCTGAGAAACGAGAGAGAAGTGAGAGAGCAGAGAGAGCTAAGAGAGCTAAGAGAACCGAGATTGCCAGGAGAGGCGAGACCGTTTTCCGAGAGCCGTCCTATTTCCTTTGACGACTCCGCCATGTTGGCTTCCAAAGGTCTCCGGATCTACGAGGCGGGCGGCGAGTACATCGCGATGAAAAGCCCCGTCAAGTCCCCGCTACGCTCCACCATGTCCGCCCCGCACTTCCGGTGGGAGGGCGCCACCTACCTCGTGGTGCCCACAGTGCTGGAAGCTTTCTCGCCCACCGGTGGGGAGAGCCCAGGTTCCAATCTCTCGCCGGGCGCTGACCATTTTGTGGGAGGTCATCATCACCCGGGAGAGCTGAGGACCCATAGAAGTGTCAGCGACAGCGGTGCCGGGTGGGGCAACCGTGAAGACCTAGCGGCGGACTTCATCAACTCCGCCACCAACAACAGCAACAACAACAGTGTGAACCTTAAAGGTAGTCAGGCCCGCGCGAGTCTGTCCTCAGAACGAGACATCACAAACGTCATGCCCGGTAGAGGGGGAACAGACAGCTCATCGGGAGACCTGTACCTACCCATGTCCGAGAACCGGTCAAACTTGACCAGTAGGGCGATGTCTGTGGATGTCCTATACGCCGACCCTCCCCCGTCCCCCCGCTCCCTCACCTCCCCCCTCTCCCCACACTCCCATCTCTCCCCACACAGCCACAGTCTCCCCCCGGGGGGTAGCGCCCCCACCACCACCACCACCACCTCTGTAAGGGGTGGGTTCCATCCCTCCACTACAAAGAACCCGGCGGACTATGTACAGTGGCGCACGTGCTCGGGCTGGGTTGGAACCACGGACATGCGCGCGCGTGGCTCACGTGACGGCCGGAACTCACGCGGGTACGTTGAGTGGGACACAATCTGGACGACGGCCGCACCCTGGAGGGGAGGGGACCAGGGGGAGGATGAACACGTGTATGACGTCATCGCTGAGGACAGCTCGTCACAGCAGTCTCTGGAGGTCGTGGGTTTGAACCCGAGCGCTGTGGGAGCTGGTGAGAGCAGCAACAAGGAGGTGACACCCGTCTCCATAGACACACCTCCCGCCCTGCCGGAGAGAACGTACATCAACCGGCTGAAAAATAACAAACTCAACAAAAACAAAAACAACAGCAACAGTTACACCAACGGTAGTCCGTGCCAGCAGCATAGACTCGACCCCTCAGCCGATCAGACTTCTGTGAATAACACGTTATCTCCCCACCACCACAGCCACTGCAAGAAACATCGTCAGCATCGCCAGCATCATCATCACCACCATCATCATCATCACAACCACGGGAAGCAGCTCAACAAACAACAACAGCAACAACAACAACAACAACAGCAACCGTCCTCCCACTCCTCGCCCTCACAAACGGTCCCGTCCTCCTCCACCTCTAGCTCCGCCCCCAGCAACCACAAAGCCCCGCCCTCTTCCTCTAGCTCCACCCCCAGCAACCAGAAAACTCCGCCCACCTCCTCTAGCTCCGCCCCCAACAAACAGAAAGCTCCTCCCACCTCCTCTAGCTCCGCCCCCAGCAAACACAAAGCCCCGCCCTCCCCCAACAGCCCGACAGACATCAACAGTGACCCCGGCTCCCAGAACTATGCCCAGGTCTCTAAGCTCAAAGGTTACAAGTTCAGCAACCTGCTGACCACGACCGACTCGCCCCTCCCCCATCAGCCGGACAAGGGCGCCATCTACTCGGAGAACTACTGGCACCTGGCCCCCGTCACGTCAGAAGAGCGCGTGACGTCATGGCAGACCGGTGACGTGCTGGACTACATCGACGGGCTGCATGACGCAATGGCGGCTAAGAGGAGAGAAAACATTTACATCCTGTTGAACAACAAAAAAACTCGGGCCAAATTCTCAGAATCGCTGGAGATCGAGTCCCGATTACTGAGCAAAGGTTTGATTACGAGTACGGGAAGCCGTCAGAACTCTGTGGAATCAGCGGAGGTACCGGTATCGAAAACAATCAATGTGGAGAACGCGAGTAGTCCGAAGGATCCGGGTTTGGATGTTGGGGTCACCAAGAAGAAGAAAGCTTTAGCCCCGGTGTCTTCAACCTATGTGTGAGTGAGCCACAGACTCGAGTTGTAAGAATAAATGGTCGCTTTTAAGGACAGGCGGGCTAACCCAGATTTTGGGAGTTTCCGGAAATCTTGACCTCCTACACCAAAAGTGGGCATTGCCCTACCTATAGGAGAAGTTTGGTTTCATTGTTTTGTATATTTGTTTCGTTTTACAGAGAACACTCTCCTTGTTTTTTAAGAAACTGAACAAGGGGCAAAAACTTTACCTTCGATTTTCTCAAAACAACATTTTTCGGGATAACCCCTTTGTGCTTAAAAGCGACCATATTAGACCAAAGTTCGTACGTAACAAGATAGTTCACTCCTCACTTTGACCTAATTAAAAAGGTGTCTTCAAAATCCTTTGGCGCCCTCTTCGAAAAAGCGCGGACTTTGCGAACAGAGCTACCCTACTAGTGTGAAAAACAATAAAAGCGAAATTAGCATACTGTGCTATTCCATTCTTCTTCTGGAGAAACGAAAGAGAGCTTCAAAACAAAGACTGCAGCGCCAGCTGAACCAATGCGTGGACTTCCGGGGACACTTTTTTGGCCGAGTGAACTGTCTTGTTATGAACGATCTTTGGTTGTAATAATAAATGGTCGCTTTTAAGCACAAGGGGGCTATCCCGAAAAATGCTGTTTTGAGGAAATCGAAGGTAAAGTTTTTGCCCCTTATTCAGTTTCTTTAAAAGACAGGGAGAGTTTTCTTCATAACCAAACAAATATACGCACCAATGAAACTAAACTTCTCCTATAGATAGGGCAATATCGACTTTTGGTGTAGGTCAAGATTTCTGGAAACCCCCGAAATCTGGGTTAGCCCGCTTGTCTTTAAAAGCGAACATATTAGACCGAGAATTCTCATGCCGGCCACTCTTCGCTCTTTCTAAAAAAAAAAAACATAGGTGCACCAGTGCGCACCATGGGCGGGCAAATGAAGGACAAAACACAAGTCTCACTCAAGTCTAGTGTGTGCAAGCAGTTTTCCCCTACTTTTACCCTTCATCTGATTCCAAATCGAGTCAAGTAGCGCGTTCCAATGTAGTGGACAGGATTTCGTCAGTTGTGCCAAGTGGTGTGGATAACATAACACAAGTCTAAGGTGGTGTGACGTGAGATCTTCGCCCTGACATCTTCCCGGATTTATCTCTACACCGGACTGTCGGGGGAAGCATGCCAGTCTGTCACAGGCCTCGACTGTGCCCTGCATGATGGAAGTTATCACTGGCACTCTCAAAAAGGGTAAATGAATGATTGATTGATTGTATGAATTGAATTGAATTTTATTTTTCAATTGTTTTTAGCGAAAGAACATTCAGGAAATTTTTACTGAGTAGTTTGCTTTGATTTGCATTTTTAAAAAGCAAGAAATATTAAACAACACAAGCTGAATTGACATTTTAGAGGGACTATCTCAACACCACCAACTTGAAGGTGGAGAATAAAAATCTTAAGTTACAACTATATTGTTAAAGTGCTGTAATAGAGACTGTCATCAATACTCAAATACTTTAATGAATTTTGACAAACTGGGCCTGTGACAAACTGGGCAGCCCC